TTCACTAAAAGTTTTTCACACACCACAGTAGCTTCCTTATTTGATTCGTCGTTAATTCTGTAAAATTATGTTTCGTTATTTGAAGTAAGAATTCTTAAAATCCCTAGAATTCTTTCCCGCTTGGCCCAATCTTTTTGCTTCGGGATGTTGTTGACGTGTGTTGTCTGTCGGTAGTTGATGTTGCTTGTCTGTGTGTTGTGATGCTTCACAATCTTTTTTTTCGTTTACACTTCTGTGCCTATTTTAACCAGCTCAAAGCACTTGTCACTAGCAAAGGTTACAATATGGTCATCATTACAAACAGTTGTGTGAACAGAATGCCTATGTGACTGGAGAAGAATACAGAGAAGTATGCTAGGGCAGGGAAGTAGAACAGCTTAAGGAGTCAACCCATGGGAGTTATTTTGACAGCCTTGGTACACCCAGGGATCAAGATCGGCTTTATAAAATGGACCCAGCAGAGCAGGTTTCATACTTTTACCTGATGATGTGCGACTGCATCATCATTCATTGCTTTAACACTCGGAGGTCCTCTGTTGGATTAAGTGCTTATTCAAACCTAAAATTTTCAAGTGTACAGAGTGCATATTAAGCAAAATCGTGATTTCAAAATGTCCCTCAAGGGCTATAATGTGTAAGAAAGAATCTGTGGAAACCTTACCTAGTGATGAGAAGTGTCAAATTTTCCACTCAGATTTTCAAAAAGCCTTTTGTTAGTTTGGAATAAGCTGAAGAATCTTTTGGGATATAAAGCCATGCAGTTTGTTGAAAGTCAACCAGTGTTTTGGAGGAATGTGTCACCTCCATGTTCATAACCACCACTGTAAGAACTTCAGATTATACATAATGTGACGTGTATATCCACTGCTAGGCAACAGGTTGGTAAACACATTCCAGCAACAACAGGGGGTCTATTGCTAGACAATGGAGCTGTAAACATGCCCTTTAAACAACAGAAGACAGTGTTTTCTGTGGGGTCCGCCCCGAGGCTACATAATGAGGACCTCATGCAGATGAAACTGGAATTGGTTCAAGTTCTGGAGATGGCAGTCAAAGGTAATTGAGAAGAAATGGAAAGAAAGGAATTAAGACTCTGTCAAGAAGACTTCATGTGTGAATATTGAAGTGCCAGTGAGATAAGCAGTGAAGACTGAGAACTAGTGCGTGTGCAACGGTGAACTGGAAAGTGTGCAGAATAGCAACAGTGCTGTATTGCCTGTAGTCCTGTACTGTGTGAATGCATAAGGCGCAATAAATGCAATCATCCAATCCAAAAAAACCTGGCTTGTTACACTGTGAAATTTCCATTTCAAGGAATGAGTGCTTCTTTCGCATCTGGCCACTTCATGCTGTCTGCTTTGTCTCTCAAAACACCAAGGTTCAGGCAATTGGTCATACTGCTTACCTTCGCAAGAACAGCGAGGTGCTGGTTCTGAACTATGGCAGCCCTGTAAGTAGCCAGTCCTCCCTCCTCAAGGTCGGGGAACATGTGGAACAGGTGTATTGAGGTTAGAAACTCAACCACTGCATCTCCAAGGAATTCCAGGCGCTCATTGTGAGTGATATTAGATTCAGTTACAGTCTTCTTGCCAAAACGAGACATGATATTGATCAGCGTATTAATACCTGCAAATATAAACCAAGAAACGATCAGTTAATGAAGCAACCTTTTTATTACAGGGTCTTTAGTTAGCAACTGACAGTTATTCAGCTGATTAAGACTGCATGCTGTTACAGAGCCAACACAATGATTACTTGCTTTAAAGGCAACTCTGTGATAAGCCAAGAGCCTGGCCAGAGATGAAGCACCAAACTTACAGACTGAACAAGTGACAAAGTGCTGCCTGGTCAGGGCTATTTCACACATCAGGGGGCAACAACAGACAAGTATGGGGCAATGGCAGAATGATTAACAATGGAAAACCAGAGATAACAGGAGAAAAACAGGCTCTATTGCCATGTCACCCACCATGAATCTCAGATTAAGCCATGAAGGATTGAATCTCAGGCTCTGTGGTAGGTGAAAGTCTAACCACCTGAGCTACGGAACAACCTATGTTAATTACTATTGTGACATGTTGTGCAATGGAGGACAACCCTTCCCTACCCAGCAGTGACGTGGCAGGTGAGTCAGCGCTCTGTCGTTCCCCCCTCCACGGTGACGTAACACACAACGCAGCTGTGACACGGGTGACAGCCAACAGCAGTCCCGATTGCGTAACAGGTGGGCGCTGCGACTATATAAGTGAACCACACTGGCTACGAAGCGAGTTAACTTGTAGCCGTCCCCGGAGGGAGTTAAAGTGTATCAGCGGCCGAAGACAGTTCTCCAGTCAGCAGTGAACAAGTAAAAGTGTGATAATCAGTGACAGTTTGTGATAACTGAGAATTAATTGGGAGTGTGTAACACAGTGACACTTGTATAGCTCTCGTACTGTGAAACGTGTAGTCTACTGACAACAGAGTGAATTGAATATGAAATTTGACATTATCATGATGATGAAAATTTAAATTGTGGTCATCTTGAGTTATGATAATGTACAGTCTGGCACTGGCATATAATATTTGAGGGAAACATTGCCTCCTTCTTCAGTGCAGAAGACTACCAGACTATATGGTGTTGTAACCCAATCACGTCAGTCACTTATTTCCAAGAGGGTTGTCTGGCCGCACTTCCGTATGTGCTTCTTATTTCTCTTATTTTTGGCACATGAAACAGGGCTGCTATTTTGAAGAAGACTGTGACCACCTCAATAAAATTCTGAAGTTCCTTCCTGAACTAGTTACTGGATTCGCAGGTCTGGCAGCTCACCTCGCTTCCTCGTGTTCATGTAATGAATCCTCCGGTCACCATACTCTGGCTGTCGAATGCCACAGTTCGTTAACGAATTCCTGGCATGGTCAGGATTTGTACCAAAGTTCTCTCTGAAATATACAACCAACATCTTTACTCACATCATTAACAAGCAGATATAATCATGAAAGTCTTGGCAAGAGGGAAAAGGGAGTTTAACCCTTAAACAAACAAGAGAAACCTTTACACACAGCCTGTCAGTGACTAAAAGAGTCGAAACATATGATTATTCATTGTTTCTCCGTTACTCCCTTCCAATTTTGCCTTCAAATGCAGTTAAGTTCAAAATCTGGTTCTTGTGTAAAAACTGCTGACTTGGCAGGTAAAATCCCAGTATGATGACATGGCAATAAATATTTTAATGTGCCTTGTGTAGTTTCCTTATTCAGTCACCACAGCATGGCACACCCTCAGGCGGCATATGGAGATGGCTTCCAGATATGGAGGGTAGTTGTGAATACACTGAATAAGCTCTTACAGTCAACAAAGGGTGGCTCTCCAGCTTGGGGGTTGGGCGTGGGCTAACAACTCATCATCATAAAAAATAATGTTGTTATGAAATGTTACAAAGGGCTTTAGACATGGATTCTTTTGATGATTGACTCAGGACAGGGAACAGCGGAGGGCTCTTATGAACACGGTAATGCACCTTCAGGTTTCATAAAATGTAAGAAAGTTCTTGAGCAGCTGAATGACTGGTGGTTTCTTATAAAGGGGTCAGCTTCATGGCGTTAGTTTGGTTTAGGTGAGCATTATATTACTGTTTTGTGAATGTCAAAAATAAAAGAGCCACTGAACTCTGAGACCTTCCAGTACACAGTTCCCTTGCTCAATCATCTCTGCAGCTCATGTGGCATTGTTAAACGACGCACAGAACTAGAGGCAGGCAGATACAACATGTCTTGATTTCATTTCCTCACCTGTATGAAGGATGAGTCATAGCCAGCTGCAGGAGAGAGCGATTCTTGAACTTATAATCAATTACTTTCTCCAGGACATCACACGAGCGATGGAAGCGGAGGTGGCACACGAGAACTGGGATCAACATGGCATGCTGCAAACATCCAAAACACACAGAGAGATCTGTTCATTGTAAACCATCATACCACTCTGACTCTTAAAACGGAACTTTGAATTAATATTTTCCCTCATTTAACGTTGTTTACTGATCCTAAGTCAATAAATTTCAAGAGTTACATTTTCTCCATTCAACATTTTTCTCAATTTAGTGTCAAAACCTAGCAATCTGGGAGCCAAAGGCTGGTAAATGGCTCTGCTGGGATGCCCTAATGCCAGTAAGAGCACACCATTAAGTACCAGAATGCCACTTGTTAAGTTGGCATCTGCTGACAAATCCTAGCTTCCCCACCTCAAGGTGACCCCTGGGCAGAACATTCTGGGGTGAAAGCACATGTGGTAGACAGAGTGGGGTGAAAGGCAAGTGTCTGACACCTTCAAACAGCACTCTGTGGCTAAGGGAAGGATAGCCCATACAGAAAACTGAGGGGGGGGCTCTTTAGGCGTGGTGAAGTCAACCCCCTAAGGGAGTACACCCTGATAGAAAAACATTGGTCCTCCTAAGTAAAGGGGGTTGGGTAAAGGCTAACAACCTCTCCCCAGAAAACATTTGTTCAGAAACCCAAGGGATCTACAAATAAACCTTAAATGGTGGTTTCACTGCATGTAATATTACCGAGTCCGTGGACTTTATCCTTCATCTGGTACCCCAAACAGAACACATCTCCAAAAGTGTATCTACTTCTGTCCTCAGTTAGGTCCATCAGGAGACGACCTCAAACACCGGAGTTCCTGCACTAACCTGTATGATGTCACACATGATGCCTGTGCGGTGGAAACCTTTAGCCGATACGGCCACGGTGACATCTCGCTTCATCTTGCTTTGTGTTCTCATCTCCTGCAGTTTGTTCTCCTTCGCCTCCAGTTTGCGCTTGTCTTCAAATGATGGTTTGGGCATATTGGCCAGCAGATGCCGGAATTTCACATATTCCCGCCATGCCTTCTGGTACCTAACAATTACAAAACGCAGCACAGCAACTGAGATCCAGCATGTGCAAGAACAAAGTCCTGAAGACAATACTTGCGCTAATAAAACTAATTTCTTTACTCTGTAACCGACCAGTTTCTGGGTCAGACAAATGAAACCCCATACTTAAGACTGAGGACACTGTCTGGTCAGGGCTACTGCATACCTAAGGAGTAAAGTAAAATTAAAGGTATCCCTGTAACAGGCTGTGGAGATCCACAGGGTTGTGAGATGTTGAGGTTCCCACATTTTCTAGACAATTGGCTCATAGATGGCAGTAAGGTTGTCAGCCTTACGCGTCGGCCACCCTTTACCCCCAAGAATATTACTGGTACTCATCTCTGTTAGAGGCTGAGTCAACCCCAGAGCCATAGTGCAGGGAGAAAGATTAGGTCAATTGAAAAAAATCCAATGCCCTCATCAGAACTGGAAGCCACAACCTTCCGGCTTGTAGCATAGTGCCTCAACCAACTATGCTACCGCGTGCCCCATACGTAAGGGGTAGTGACAGATTAGTATAAGGCAATGGTGGGTTGACTAACATGGGAAAACTGATGTGCTGGAAGAAAAATCTTCCAGCAGTGCCACTCAGTCCACTCTCAATCTCATGTAAAATCACTCAGGATTGAACACAGGGCTGCACAGTGAGAAGCCAGCACCTAACCACCTCGGCTATAGCATGATCAATATCTAAACTCACAAGATGAAGAAACACCATGAACAAAATTACACTATCAGGATCTTCATAATCTGTACGAACACCCACTGAGTGCGATCTACAGTTTCCCTCCTAAAGGTAAGGCGGTATTGAAGATGATGCTTGTGGTCACACCAAGTAACTTGGCTCAAGATTAATGCTTCCGATTTGTATTTAGGAGCCAGCCAGCTCAAATCTTGGCTCGAATACTAACCACCCTGACTTTTTCATGGTTGTCCCTCAGTTCCACTAGGGAAATGTTGGGCTAGTACCTCACCTTATGCGCAATCCACTTCATACAGTATCCATCTTTCTGGTTGATTCCTTGTCATCCTACCAACTGTCACTACATGATCTGAGCTATGGGCAGCATCATTAAATAAACCACAGACAAATATACAAAATGACTGCTGCAGTGGGGACTTAGAGCTTAACACACACATTTTTCTCTTGAGTACCACCAGACGAAATACAAAGTACTCTTACTGTTATTACTGATGTTACTGCTGTTTTTGTTTGTCTGTTTTGAAGTCTTTGACTGTATGGGGTCATCACTTAGCTGACTAAGAACTTTATGACGTTTCAATTATGTTAGCGAGATGTGAATTGGATTAAATCACCTCATAACTGCCTTTGATGAATGATGACTTTCAAGGAGGAATGAAAATGAATTTGACATAAAATATGTTTCTTTTAGACAAAACTAACATACTCAGGGTTGCCAGCATAACTGAGCTGAGGTGGGCGAATCCCAAAGTGCACTATCTCTGGGTATGGAAGGGTGTCTGATTTCTGCTGTTCACGGTCCAGCTGATCCACTCGAACGGAGCATGGCTTCATGCCAGGGTACGTCACCACCATCCCTGAAAACATACATCCACCATACTAACAAACATTCTGCCTAACACACAAACAAGTGAAACTCCATTTAGCAGGGCTACCTTCAGAAGATAAACCTTTCATGCCTGAAGTTCACTAAACGGCTCTTAAAAATTCAATTCCTATCTCAAACAGAAGGCAATGCACCCTGTGTGTGTGTCGAGTTGTGATTCCATCAGTATTGACTATGAAGATTACCATCTTGTGAAATGTGACGTGGTGGAGTCTGGTAGACAGGTATCATTAGTTTGGAGGAATCTACCACCTCTATCTTCAGGACACCCTGCAAGTGAAGGCAACATGTTCCTTCGAAATGCTGGTACCTCTCTGTCAAGATTACACTGCTGTCACATCTTAGAAGCCGGTAACCACAAGACCCTCACACCTCATACAGAATCCAGCAGGGTGTCACATGATTGGGGTGTGATTATGGATGAGGTTTGGATTGGTGAATGGATTTACTGACCACTTTAACACACAACTAGTAATTACAAGTAAACAGCCTCACTGGTTTACACACTTCACTCTAACTGCAGGACACATAAAATCTTCTATGTCTTCACTAGTTGTCTCCTGGTAACGGATCTTAACACTGTCCTCTGCTGATGTCCTAACTGTCAGGTGATCGCTACTCAGCCAGTCCACTGGCATGCTGGCTGCTGTTTAGCAATGGCTCTGTATGCCACAAGAGTTTATACCTTCACAACCCATTATAATCCAAGTTTCTGAGCACAGATCTTCTTATGAAGCTCATAGTCACTCCACTAGTCAAGAAATACATCACCTTTTATAGAACCTTAAAGCTAATTATAATTAACAAGAGCATATTATGAGCCAGATGAATCCAGGCTATCCAATCACATCATGCTTCTTACACCATTACTTGCTGTGCAGTGTGTCTTTCAACACTCATATCATTACCCACTCACAACCTCACTAGTATCAGGGGATTTACCTGTACAATGCCCTGTTTATGGATGATAAAAATTAATATCTGTTTTCATACTGCTCTCCCATCTCCACCTGGATGTTTCAAGTGGTCTCTTAACTTCAAGTTTTATGCTAACATTTTGTATACACTTTTCATTTCCCTTCCCCAGTGCCTATTATAACGCAATGGGGTAAAAAAAGGTGCTTTTGGCTTCCATAACTACAAACCTTTTACTTCATCTGCAAAGTTCTGCCACTTGAATTGGGGCATGGCCAGAAGATCTTTAAGTTTCACCTGTTCAATAAGGGGGTTGCTGTTCACTATCAGATAGTACATCACCTCATTCATTGACAGTATCTCCTTCCCATTATCTGAAACCAGAACAACTTAATCAGTAAAATTACAGAAGACAGGAGCCTCTAGGTGAAGCACAAGAAACATTCAAACATCAAGGGAAAACCAAATAACTGGCAAACTGTTACTTTCTTAGTCCAATGAAGGACTGAATTCATCAAATCTAGCATGACCCCATGTTAATGAAGAGACATGTTCCTGAAAATATGTCTGTATTGTGAAATTCTGTAATGCAAACCTTATGTCTCCACCATTTCCCATGTCATAAGTTGAAGTCTTCCTCAAATTCAAACTGACACCTTCTTCCCCTGAAGGCATGGTGCTTGTTCATGAGACCTAAGTCTCTCATGGCACTGAGTATGAAAGTATCTTTTGGGATGTAAACCTATGGTGCATAGGCACCAGAACAGTTCTGATGATGTCGCAGAACTCTTGGGATTACTGGGTTTTTGGACTTTGTCCATTTTCTGCTGTTCTAAAGAACATAATGTTTCAAAACTTGATCAGTTTCCGTCCACGGGTGAATGGGTGGGAGACATCTACGCTGCTCCCGGCGGTCCAGTGACTGAGGTTTGCTCTTCCTAACAGACCCTACAGAGTAGGTGACTCCCACACCTTCAATGGAGGGCACAGATCCAGTTCCCTAAACATTGTGCTCTTAAAATATAAAATTATGGACAAAGTCCAAAACTCAGTAATACCAAGGTACCAATGTTTCGGAGGAACCTGCAGCCTCTGTCTTCATGTTTCTCTCAAACGATACTTATCTACCACACTATACACAGCTTAACATCCCACGGGAGAGTAATATTCTTGGTACATCAAGTCTCATATCACACAGTTATAACTTCAAATCCTCCAAAAGGTATGGACATTGGAATGCATTTTTATTTACCAAAAATGATCCTGTCACCATACTGTCCCATTGATGTGTTTTGCCATGGCATCATGTGCTCTACAGACAAATGTTTTCAGTTTAAGAATATTGGGAGGTGATGTCTGTGATTTTTTTATTTAGTTTCAGATGTTTCAAAACAAAGCCCTGATCTAGGCTAACAAGTCACTATGAAACTAACTGTATATACGCTACAAGAAACTTTAAATTAAATGCTGACATGTGAGACTGTGTATACCTGCAAGATCCCGAACAAACCGAGGCATGAAGTGGAACAGTGAACAGCCAGTGGAGTCATTGTGAGCTTTGAAGTCTAGGTCCACAAGTTCTAGCAGTTCACAGAATAGATAGTCATCTGGAACATGTCCAAATATTACAGACAGAACTTACACCTTTCCTTTTTCCTAGACGTACTGCATGAACAGGAATTATGAAAACTTACTGGGAATTGCAGTACTCAGTGTGAACACTGAACTGAAGAGGAAACAGACTTCAATGAGAAGAAGAAGAAGAAGAAAAAGAAGCAGTTTCAAAATTCAACTTCTGATTCTTCTCAATAAACCCAGACACTTACAGAACAAATCCAGTTCTCGAATGGTGAAATTCTCTGGCAGTTTCTCATCTATGTACAAGATGGTGTATTCTATATTGAAGCGGATCACTTTACATGTCGGCAGCTTGTCCAGGGGAAAGTGTGAGAACATGGAGAATCCTTCGAATATGAATTCATGTTCATCATGTTTGATAATCGTTGGTATCTTGGTCTGCAACATAAATGTGGAGACAGGCCTATTTCAGTGCTGATACCAAACAAAAGCTATAAAATTTGATGTCCTCATGGCAGTGGATATAAAGATTAACCTTTAACGGCCGAATGTTATAATTATTGGCATCATGTAGCATGCCGAGCTGGTCGAATGTTATAATTTTTAGAGGCAAGCCACGTGCTTCCTTTGTGAGTGCTGGCAGTTTGACCTTGGGTTTGAAACCCAAACAAACTCATGAACTTCATCTCAGACGTTTATTTGTTAGCTCTGAAGAATGAAATCGTATATCAGGGCACTGGTTTCGAAACTATTTACGTTTAGATATGACTGTTTATGACCTGGTGAGCCAATAGAAGTCAGCTTTGTTTTGAGAACTTAGAGGAAGAAATATTCGTGGGCACTTACATATCAGTGCTACCACAGCTTTCACGGAAGGGTGACGAATTCAGGGATTGGTTTGCAGTGTTGAATTGTCAGTTAGGGCGTCAGTGACGGATTTTCTAATATTTGGTTATTAGTTAGGAAGTCAGTGTCAGACTCCTATATTTCTTTGAATATAATTTTTATTGTGTATCTCGGAAGAGGTATAAACCCACTGAGCCAGTGTTACTTTGTGCGTAAAGACATCTTCGCCACTGTGACTTTCGGTATCAGTGGCGGACGGAAACTTTTTGACTGCTATTGCAATTATTTTGCATTACAATTTTGCGAGTGTTCCTAACAGTCTCGCTTTTTCAATCATAAATTATAGGATTTAGCTGGAAGACCCCTCCCCCAAGATGGAACCTCAAAAACGAGCCTGATACTCAAAACTCCTCGATGCTGAAGAACTGGAGGAAATATTGATGGAAGATGACTCTGATGAAGAGTTGGAAGAACTCGATGATGTCATTGAACCTCGCGAGCATATGTCGTCATCATCGTCGTCATCATCATCATCATCAT